CCCTCAAAACTTTCATATAATTATTCATGATTTTGGCGAGAAATTCGAGCTTCACAAAATCATATGGCCAACCTACTGTACTGACAATCTGCAGCTCGAAGATACTAAACACATGTAAACGCTGGTTTCTGATAAGGAAGTTCTTTTCGATGAGATTTGGATTCGAAAATACATGTAGACCCTCAAGTTTAGACCTGGACATCCTAACAGCAACTCTTCTACTTCAAAGTTCCCGAGCTGATCAAATCTAAAGTAGAGAGAAAAACTTTGACGCCCATCGATCATAGGAATAGATCTTACACACTTCAGACAGGTCAAGATAATAAAGACCCCAATGCCGCTCAATGCCAGCTGTGCCAGAAGGCTTGTGTAAGTGTTGGCTCCCTCGGCTACTTGTCCAGCACCGAGAAGGGTATATCCTAGAGCAGTACTCACCTTGTCAGACTCATAGGAGAAGGGTAAATGTTGGAGAGAAAACTGGCAATATTAATGATGGTGGTAAGATATGCATCTTTGAAACTGCCTGCTGATGGAGGAAAGGTTCTATCCGTGACTTCTTATCTATGAGCAGTGGTGACCTTGATGTCCAGATCCAGAAGCTGCGAACCTGAATTGAGATTTTCCATCTAAGTCAACAGGTTGTCCTTTTGATCCTGTGCGGCGTCGCTGTTAAGACCTCGTTCCCTACTGTGATGGCTTTGATGCTGCTACTTGAGAAAGGTGCAGTATTGCTGTTTACCCAGGTCGATGCATTGGTAACGTCTGACAACGTCCCTGGGAACTCATCACTGGGGATGCCACTGTTAGCGAAAGCCAACAAGGTTTCTTGGAACGTTTGTTAGATTCTCACATGTGTGACACCGAACCCGCTGAGCTTTTGAACCACAGCGGCTTTGGTTGGAAGGTGGTCTCCGTCTTCACTAAGTTTATGCCAAGCCATGCATCTGTGCGCAAAAATATCGTACTCACTTTAAGCTAAATGCTGAAACAATCGCCTATACTATCTTGAAGATGATTTGTGCTTCAAAATGTGTGTATTTGCCAATCATATATCAGGATTGCAACTTGAGAAATGACATCAAAGTTAAGAGCCCACAACATGACACTCCAGGAGAAACCTGTATAAACGTCCAATCTTCTGGGTTGGAAAAGAGTAATGGAGTTTTCTACTTGTGGAAAAAACATGTGTATCTCGAACCTGAAAAGTGACTATTTGCTGAAGCGAGGTAGATTATGAACAAGAATTTGAACGCAAAAAACTGAGTCTGCATTGTGAAATTTAGCAGCAATCGATCTGGAACAGATTTTGATGTTTCTGGATTTCCTGCAAGTGATGTCGTGCTTTTTAGATAAGCTGGAGAAGAGCAAGTAAATAAAAATCATAAGGTCACTCTGGTTGTGATGACGTATCAAGAACAATTACCTGCAGCTCAAGGAATTGTCTGGAGAACTCTAGACCTTTATCTGCTCCTGCTCAATTTTTTTTTCAGCTCGGATTGTAGCTTTAATCGGTTTCAACTCACTCACTATCGAGGTCCCAACTGTCATCAAAAGCTGATTTTGTCAGCAAATGCAAATAGCTAAACGAACTTCGCTCCTCTAAAGCATGCATGATGCGCTTTATACAATTGCAACGCTGGTGTGGATCCCGAGCGAGAAAGGAGAGGTTTTTAGTAACGAAATACCTTACAAGTTCCTACCCAGTTAGACTTCGATCAGCAAAAGTAATCCAGGTACGTTTAAAAATATCCAATTGTCGAAATTCGATGAGATTGTATAAACTGGAGAATCAACCTAGCATAAAACTCAAGATGAATTCTGGTGATAGACGAGGTGATTATTTTCTGCTGTTTTCTTGATTTCATTTTCACTTATCGGACTCACTCATTTGGCTATTTTGAAATCTATTTTTGTTTTTTTTCCATGAGTACATTAAAAAGCATGAACGTACGGAATCTGCACTCTACGACGCCAAGGCATTAGTGCAGAAAAGACGAGTGATGAGTCGGTGTTGTCAAGGGGGCGCTCGAAAAGAGGAGCAATGGCGCTGAGAGCTATCACGTAGAAGTTGCGATGGCCGATTGCACACAAATGATAAACTATAGCTATCCTCATCGATATAGAATAGCTAGTCGATGCAAGTTGGAAAGTTCAACGGAATTATCAAACCTCGATTACTAAGGTCCATGTTTCTTAATAACAGCTTTTCTTCCTATTTCATATTCTTAATTCGGGATTTGCAAGCAGTAGTTTATTAAAAAAACGAAACGAAGCCTTGAACTACGCCCCACGTGTTGCAATCCTGCGAAAGCGATACTTTCATGTCGAACGAGATCATTAGAAGAGTACAAGCAGTGGAAGCATCCATGCTTGTTCAGCTTATATGATAAAGCAGATTGTCTGCTGAGGCAAATGAAGCGCATCGGACTTTCCTAAAGATTCTGGCTACAGACTTCTAAGGGGATGATGCTTCAACGAGTACTTTTCTTCCTCCCAGTCTGCCAATCTCTGAGACGTCGAAGAATATGTTCCAGGAAAAGCTTAAGAGATTTTCACTTCATTTTGTAAGAGTCCGAGGACATTTTGACAGAATGAACTACCAAGCAAAAATTCAATATCAAATACTCTCTCTTCCATCATAACTGAAATTTTACAGGTTAAACAAAAAATCAAGTTGAGGCCCGGGGATCATATTATGTGCGAAGACTAGTCTTGATGTCTATATAATTCGTATTTTAGGGTGCCCTGAAAAAGTTATATTCTCATTGACAAATGGAAACTTCTCTTAAAACATCCAAAGTATGTACCGAAACACATTGATGAAACAGCTATCCTCGGTTCTAGTTCATTGTGGGCCGAAGAAAGCCACTCTGACGAGAAGTTTAAATAAAGCTAAAATTAATTTCTCTCTCTCGAAACCAAAGAAAAAGCCTGCACACCATAGCCTCCAGGCCTGGTTCCTTATAACCATCTAAAGCTCTTACCGCTGCATCGCGGACCGGAGTAGCTCGGCAGATTGAGCACCATGCCACCTTCCGGTACAAAATCATAAAGAGATGTTCGTCGAATGATGTGCCCGGCCCTCGCGAAGAAAGATGAGAGCCGGGACCTCGCCGTCCATCTATACCACTTACTTGCAAGACAACTGACTTTGCGAACGTCTTGGTAAGAAAGAATGAATGAGGTTGGTTCCCACTCCTCGCAATCTCCGTTGTGACATAATGTCGTATATATTGATTTCTCGAGAGGGTTGCACCAACCTCCCTACGACTATTTCTTTCAGCTTCACCTGCTGAAACATTTCAACCATTCTGTGGAGGTCAGTTTCCCTCTCCATATATTCACAAAAACTTTCTTAGAGCATCCGGTGGTTGAGTTTCCTCTGGACGCGCGAAACATAGAGGCAAAAGTTCGTAGCGTAGGAAAATTCAAACGTTCGGATATGCTAGTGGCTCAGTCGATCTCCGTTGTTGTCAATCACTCAGCCCATCAGTTTGTCTTTCTCGGTTTGCAAATTCACTGAGACTCCTTGTTATGCGATCTTCTGATGAGTCTCCTGGATACTTTAAGTCATACTTCAAGTCATTTTGAAGTACATATCAGTCAGCATGAGTTCACAATGCTTTGAGTCTCATATCAACCCCATGGATCTCACCCGCTAGCCTGGGGAGCATGTTCTAGATGACCGCAAGCTTCAGGACTCTGATCTACATGAGGGCTTGATTGTGTCCGACGGCGATCATGCGCAAGAATGCCGTGGGACACTTCGGGAAGACGAGTTATGGGACAACGTGACAGACCCTCGTACAGGACAAGCAATTGCTGCTAAGGCTCTTAAGATCAATATGCTAAAGGTCTTCCTTCCAAATCCGCGTTCCATGTGCTGTTCCTAATTCGGCTATTCAGACCTCCCCGAAAGCGGTCACCTGGCTTTGTCGGACTATATCAATACATGGTGCTGATACACAATTGCTGGATTGAGGACTTAATGGAAGCCATCGAGCCGAGAGGGTTTTCTGATTTTATCGAGTTGAGAAGAGGCGTCAGTTTTTTGCAGTCTTCAAGGCAGGAATGATGTATGATCTGATATGCAGCAGGTGTCCAAGCGTCTAGCAGCATTCTGTGGAGCAAGATTTTACGAAGAGCGGTTCTTTCATAGAAATTGGCCCCTAGATTCCATCAAACCTCTGTCACCGGCACCAGCATCCAAATCCAAATATATTGTCAAAGGCTGGCCGACCTGGAAGCTTGATGATTGTAATTGTTCTCTTAACGCGAAACCGAGGACTCAGATGCACTCCTTTCTGCTGGACTGTCTGACAAACGATGAGCAGAGAGACCTGAAATTCACAAATGTGACAATTTTGCTGTTGCGTGGCTGTTTTTTGAGGTACTGAGCGGTGCGTTTAGCGAGGAAAGAGAGGCGGCCTCGGCTTAACATGCTTTGGCTTCTCAGAGATTCGCTCGTATCGAGATCGAGATAGTTTGTTATATTTGTACGAGGCCATGATCTATGCGCTGGCCTGTCAACTGTTTTGAAAAGGAATATTTGCAAAAAAGCAGAGATATCAGGCTCATTCGGAAGGTATTGAGAAATCATTTTAAGTGCAAACTTAGCTGCTGTGGCCGCGTTTGATGCACCAAGTAGGTATTCATTGCATGGATGCGTACTTGAACTTATGCGAAGAATATAGGCTTTCTGCGTAAGCAGCACATAAGAAATTATCAGCAGGCCGTGCTTCCTCTTCGCAAATGTAGTTATACAACAGGATGTGCAATGTCCATAGTTTTCCCTTGTCACAAGTATCTCCGAACAATGTCAAAGCAGTGCTGATCTGTGCAGTACATTCTACTGTACTGGACTGTTGAGATTTGGAAAAGGCCTGTGGCTATAGTTCGTCGAAGACCAGATCAGTACAATCGACTATTACTTCCACTGCTCATTCTGTTGAGTGAGATTAGTAGATTATTTTAGATGCATTTCTCAATTCGGTTTTAGATTGGATTTTTCTTTGGACACACGACTCGAAGACCAAACTATTGACTGGATCAATCGCATGCTTTCGTGCACAATGTGGAAATCTTGCATCTACGCAATTGAGTTCCAATTTCAGGGCGGTTCGCTCAGCATGTCTTAACGGACGAATTTGCCGAAATTCTCGACATATCCAGGTAAAGTCTCATCCTCGGGTAGTCCGTGTCTAGTTCAGAAGACCGAGCCAGAATTGCAAGCAAATTCGTCACCATGAGTAGCGATGCCTCTTCGACGACTCCAGACGACTCCATACAGAGGATGATCCACATGCGTGATGAGTTTTACACCGATGAAGGCAAGACTCTGTGCGGGCTCAATCGAATTCTCGTGAACCAGATCTCCAAGGCGCTCAGAGAGAGCGTGCAGCTGTTGATCTGGATCCAGTTCACACTGGTGCTGCCAGCTATGCTCGTCTTCGTATGCAACCTCTACAACTTTTTAACACTAGTTCCCAAGCTGGTGCCCAATGCAGACTTTCCTGATGCAGACGACGCCACTCTGGCTCGAAGGAAGAATTACGGTCTCGGAATCCTCTTCGGACTGGCCGTCGCTTACTTTCTGCTGACGATCAATGTCCTGGCGGCCATCAACTACGCCACGGGCAACATCTATAAGGGTCACAAGGTAAGCTTCCTGGACGTCCTCAAGGCGCTCCCGGGCTTGTGGAAGGGATTTCTCATCACAACTCTCTGGTCATCGCTGCTCACGTATGGAGCGCTGCTGGTCCTCTGGATCACTGCCTCTCTGACGCTCTACTTCAGCTACCAAACCACCAATGGGCCTTTCATCGTGGTCATGTACATGACCACCTTGTTCCTTCTCCTGGCCTTCGTCTTTGTCAGCACTACTTTCATTCCAGCCGTCACTGCCGTGGCCAACGGTGTCACCTGCTTCGAGGACTGCTGCGGTTTGAAAGCTTTCCACAAGGCCATGGCTTTACTGGAAGATCTGTGGTTGATGGCTTTCAAGGGGGCCACGTTCGAGAGCATATCTATCCGCCTCGTCGTAATTGAGATCTACATGCTATCAGGTAATGTCCACAAACAAGCGAGTTCAACTTGTCTGCTCTCTGCCCAAGCTAATCTCACAAGGTCTATCAATCCTTAATCGTAGATGTGATAAGTTGAAGAAACAATCGGTCTATCACAAACAAGAATCATTTCATCCCATCGTAGACATAGACCATTCTGCTGATGAGCCACATCTAACGTGGATATCAAGTTTGTCTTTGAAATGCTGTGTTCTGGTTAATTCTGCAGGTTTTACCGGACCCTCGGAGCTGGAAGAGATTCAATTATGGACGAAACTGCTGGTTGGAGGGGTGATGGTGCTCATGCTATCAATATATATGCAGGCAAGCACTATGTACTGGTCTCTGTTTTATATCACTTGCAAGATCTATCATCATGAAAGCCTCGAGCCTAGGGGATCTGGACAATACGAACGCATTGTTCTCAACGAGATAGATTCAGAATCTGTTGGCGAAAGGGTATGAGATCTGGCTCGATCCTTCGGATCCACTTGTACAAGTCAGTTTAATAAGTAGACCGCTGTAATTTACTTCGAACTTTGTACGTGTCTGCTACCACCAAGTGATACCCGTTTCCGCCGGGCGGAAGGAACGAAATGCAGACGCTGAAAAGCTTGTACAGAGGCATAGAATACAGTGCCGATTACTGTATATGACTAGGGATTGAAACTGCGAGCGAAGTTTCGTCGGACATTTGTGTTAAAAGGTAGATTGCTTCGAGTACATTTTGGAATCGCAGTGAGAGTACACCGGCCTGAAATCTGTACATTTGTGATTATGACAAAGTTTGGCAACATGCAACTTCAGGATCACATCACACACACAAGATTCAGCCTGTAAATAGGTTCATGGCCGAAGACAGAAGAAGACTTTATCATCTCAGGGTTTTGAACGTTGGATCAATTCCTAGTGGGAAGTATGGCTGATCGCGTTATCTTTGATGCCGAGGCATTGCATATGTAGCAGTCTGTTCTTATTAAAGTTTTGAACGAGGACGTCGACAAATGTTGTACGATTCGACCATCGAGATTTCCGAGTGCTTAATGTTCTAAAGCTTTAAACTGCCCAAGGTGTAATTCATCACCAAATTCAATTGGACGAGGCAAGATCCGTCATTATGATCTCTAATGCTTCTCCGAAAGTCCAATTTTCCGAAAGTCCAAAAACTCACGATCCTAATATGGAGGAATCGACTGGAAAGTCCAGATGATACTGTTGATTGGAATTTCCTCACGGTTTTATTCTCTGCTTATACTAACACGGAAGGCAAGGTGTCTGCACGTCGGGCCGCTGGCTCTTCACATGAACGACAGACATGTCAAGATGAAGCAACTGTGATGAATGACAATCATGGAACTGTTTGAAAGGAGATCCAGTAGGAGATCCCCACCTGTACTTGTGTTTGAGTCTCGATCGGAACAAGTAATAGATTGGAACCCAAGCCATCTGAAGTCTGTGTCCTATACACACATGTGATGCGGACGTCACTTTGCTATAGTGGGTTCTCCTTGAAAGATCTACGCTGATGTCATCGCCATGGACAATGTTTACCAAGAGGAATAACTGTTTAGAAACAGTGTCAAATATTTCCATCAGTTTAGCATTGAGGGTATCTTGCAGCTCCACGTGATCATGTGAGTAAAATGTTCTTACGAAGTCTAGCCAGGTAATCAGATTGATTGAGTTTGTAGCAATCAGCCTTTGTATTTTTCAAGGCATCTGATATATGATTTTTCAGGTCGTTTACCAAATCCACAGACAGATTCTACTCTACTCTTCATAACTAGGTGAAACTTTTACTATCTGCACTCGTCCAAATCCGATGGCCTATGAAAGTCAATTTTTCTGTTTCTTACTGCTAGAATGGTCAAATTAGCCCCTTATCGGTTTATATCTCTACAATCAACGTAATACATTTTGTAAACAACATGAACTATCAACTATATGGAATCTAATATATTATGAGTTTATAGTTGATGATGAATGTATGAGTACGAGATATAATTTGCAATAGTGCTTAATTTCATCAACAGCGAAAACTAAATATAAAAAGGTAGTAATAGCACAAAAAAATTTATTTAATTGAATAGACTTGTCCTTCAAATGAGAATGCATTATCCCTTGCAACAAATTAAATGATAAAGATGAGGATGAAACACATAGATATATCACTTTATCAAATATGCAAGATTCATTCAGAACGTTAAGTTAGTTAAGATTGATTGTGAAATTGATCCAGCAGATACATTGAAAAAAAAAATTCAAAGAAATTTTGTTAATTTGCAAGTTTTGCATTAAGCATAAGCATTTTCTATAGTGAATTAGAAAATGCTTAAGTGCTTATATTTTGTCATGTTTTGGTTAGTTTTTTAGTTTACTTACCTTCAATTTATAAAGTATCTATGCTATTTTTCTTGGAAGATTATTTTGCTACTTTATTATATATGTTATGAATTTTACGATCCCTAAGATATAAGTGAAGGAGAAAATTATTATGGAATCAATTCAGGTCTTGGTTAACTCTTGTACTTATGTTTGTTTATTTTTTCTTATTGAATGATGTTCACTTCCAATTAAGCAGAAATTTTTACTATGTAAATGTTTTCTTACTTGTGATGTGATTATGAGGTTATCTTGCATTTTATAGCTATGAAAATGATACTTCAGGTTCAGAATACTAATGGCTCATTGTAATGTCATTAGATATCCATATTTGAATTTATTTTGTGAGGCAAAGATTTTAATAACGGCTCAAGGTATCTAATCATATATCAAACGAAATAAAAGTGCGGATTCTATCATAGTGACCATCTACGTATCAAGAAAATGTATGCACTAATAAAGGTGAACTTTATCAGTGTACACATGTTGAGTGAAATCTTCACACTAATCGAGTGTGGATATATTACATACGATTAAATAGTGTACATGAAAATATACCTCTAGCTGGTGTAGCCTGCATCATTAACGTAAAGTTGTCTGGTACAAAAAAAATGGTTCCAAATTTTGTTCGTATGGTGTACTATTGTTTATGTGAATGGGGACATACAAATAATGCCCTTCTGACTTGATCCACAGAGCCAGGCTGGACCAGAGGACATGGTATGTACGGCTATACAAAAGGTCAAAGTATTATTATTCTTAGACTCTTTCAACCTGATACAGTTCAAAGCAAATTGCTATTTTAAGCTTCAAAAGGGGCGGCGAAAACCTCGGTACCGTAGGAGTTAAAACTTCACATATGATTGTCAACCATTAGACCCCAAAGTTCAGTCATGGAATCGTTCCACTTCAGACATCAGAAGTGCAAGAGTGCGAGCACGAGGATGTGTTTTGTTGTTCCATATCCGACATTGAATCCCAAAGTTGACGACCTGAAAGATTGCCCGGAAGTACGACATGTCGAGCACAAGACAAAACTTGGTCCGTGCAAACTAAAGTACTCACTGAAATCAGCGGCAGAAACATGTTTTCCTGCTTAGCAGTCATACTCAGGAAGCATTCAGCAGTCTTCCAGAGGAAATGGAGAGCGCGGGGAAAAGAAGGATCACTCTGCAATATAAGATGGTCACCTGAGCAACCTTCTCGTTCGCATGTTTGGGCGGGCAGCTGGCGACCAGTCTAGTTGATCGGGAAGCTTTTGATCTGAATAAGCCTAGCTTATGTCAGGTCCGAATTTTTGCGCAGATGTTGAAGAATGCGCATGTATACAGCCCTTATATGAAGCTAGTATAAGTGAAATTCAAGAGTCCGCATCAACGAATACCGTTAACTCCCCATGCTATGACTTCAGAGAGCATCTGCGAGTGGAATGCCATTACATCAGGAGAGATGGATTCCGATTCGTCTGATCGGATCTTGACGACATTGTGATGCAATTACATCGACAGTTTAGCAGAGATCTATTTGCGATCCACCATTACGTGTAACTCCTGAAAAAATCAAAACATGAATGTATCCGATCCATTCTTATTGTATTCGACTCTTTTGTTTAGGCTATGCTGTGCAGCATAGCCTTAACAACTGCCATTCCCAACTCAGGGCACCAAACTCGAAGGCGGTTATGCACTCATCTGAAGCTGGCAGTGGTCGATAATATACAGACGGCTTTGATCATGATGTACGGTGCGCATCCCTTTGCCCTCCGTACTCGTCGCATATTCTCTTCCTAAATCTCTCTTTCCATCCCCATGTTCCTGGACTTTGAGCCCGTGGAAGTCTACCGATGGCAATGGTATTCACCCGCCGAAGGATGCAACTCCGAAATTGCAGGACATCTAGTTGTGTTCAGACCTTAGCAGTTGGTGTGATATAGTGTATGGCGTTGGTGTCAAGACCTTTGAGATTCAGTCCCGTGAAGTCTGTGCTGGATGTCCGGTGTTTGTAAATGAGCAGTATTTCGTCAGCACGTGAGGGCAGGCATCGTTTGCACTAAGAAGGCGTGGACGAATCAGGCCCCATGAGGAGAGGTGTGGAAAAGCGTGCAGATCCTAAGCTTTCCTTGTGCGCATGCTCAGCTTCGTCTTGGAATGTGGCGAAGAACTCGGTACCAACACTCAGCCACGTCTGTTAACAACACTACATCGGAATCTTCTCTGGAAATGGATGCACTTGACGTGAACACTGTGCCCTTCCTTGATTTCGACGAATCCTTCGAGTCCTCTTCCTGACAAAGTAACTGATCAATGGGGTGTAGGTTTTTCGAAGCCATTGATTTGGATCAGGGAATGTGTAATCTGAGAAACTATAATATATAGTTATTTTGCAAAATGATAATAATTTCCAATCTAATCACTTGTGTACAGGTATAGAGTTCTCACGAAACTAGTTCGTAAATCTCACACCAGATGCTGTAAAATGGTCGAAGTTAAAAAACTAATATGAAGCAAAACGGAATCTAAAAGAGATTTAGAGAGCTCGTTCGACAAATTTTTATATCACTTTGTGGTTGACCTTCGACGTAGACCAGGCAGACGACAAGAGAAGGTGAATAAAATCATTAATTTCACATTCTTCTTGTACCGTTTTCAAGGCCGATTGTGCGCTTTTCACAATCAGACTCTGTCAGAGGAAACTGTTGATATTCCTGGAAGTTCAATGCAGAAAATCCAAGATTTTACAAAGATGCTCCTCATCATCTTCAAGAGGTCGCAATAGTTACTATCTATTTCTATCAGAGGATCCGGAATGAGCAGCTGGAAGTATGTATGCGAATTGGTCAAATGGTGTGGAATAACGTCGTGCTGCTGGAAGAAATGAAGTTTCGCAAGCACGAATAGATTTCGAACACAATTTTTTCACATTTTTAATGTTGGATCTGGTCCCTTAAAAGCTGAAGTTCACTGCATTTGAAACATATCAGTAGTTCCGCCATCGAGCGTGCATTTAGCTGCACTCTGCTCGACATCGCCTGCCACCATTCAGTCTTAGGTCTTCAATCTAATCTAACACTGGAGTCCACAAGTCTGCTAGAGTGAACTCCGAAGTGTTAGGCACGACAATCCGGAAATTTGCATAGATTCCAGAGAGAGACATAGAAAAATTCACGTGAGACGAATCTGTGCACCAGCCCGGGAAACGGTAGTGCAATGGCAACCGCAAGAAGCATGATGTTGGCCTTGCTGGTGGTGGTAGGTTTGCTCCAAATTGCATCAGCTGCTACATACATTGTCGGCGATGATACCGAATGGACGATACCCCCGTCCAATACTTTCTACGATGATTGGGCCGTGAAACAGAATTTCGTTGTGGGCGACAAGCTCAGTAAGATCTCGACACCATTTCACGTTAGCCATTTTCTTCCTTGCTTGCATTGCGTTCTACTTCACACAGACGCTTGCTCGAGAAGCATGTTTGCAAAAATGGGACCTAGCTTCGGATTTTATTGCTCAAAAGATGGATTGTGACTTTGTCACGATTCCGAGAGATGAGTCACTGGCATTCAAGAAACTTCATGCATGCCCGGCGGCACAGCCTCACCCGATATCACTCAGTAGGCTCTTAGAGGTGGATCGAAGTGTTGTTGATAGTTGTATGTAGTGGATGCTGGTCTAACGCATTGTCAATGTCAATGGTGCAGATTTCATATTCGGTCTTGGACACAATGTGTACCAAGTGAGTGCGGCCGACGCCAGTGCGTGTGACGGCACCAACCCGATCAACAAGTACACGACTGCCACCACTGTGACTTTGACCACATCGGGAACGACTGCCTTCATCTGCGAAGTGTTCGGCCACTGCCTTGCAGGCATGAAGATGACCGTCGATGTTTCTCTGTCGACGAATTCGTCTTCTCCCCCCGCCAAGGCACCAGCCAAGGCCCCAACCAAGGCTCCGGCCGTGGCTTCCATCATTCCTTCCTTAGCACCGGGAACTACACTCGTTATTCCACCAGCATCTGCTCCCTCTGCAGCTCCAGGTCTCCAGTCCGCAGCCGCCATGCTCTTTGGAGTCTTCGCTGCCGTCGTTGTGGCATTCGCTCTCTGAACACCTCACGCAGATCAAATTTTGCCAGATTTTCGTGGTAGGATCCATTAGAATTAGGGGAATATGAACATGCTTAGGCGCGAAGTTAAAGTTTATCCAGAGAAACGAGGTCGTCCTGTCAGCTGCAGGCAGTCGTTTCATTCTTAATTGAAACCTCAGATTTAATTTCTTCTACACTCTCCTGAAGTTTCTTCTCACCGACTAGCGGTTTAACATCACCTTCTTTCTGTTTAGAACTTATCTGATATGCGGACGAGTTCTAGCAGTAATCGTCCTTTGCCAGTTGCAACGTTGCTAGCTTGCCGCAGAGCATGTTCGATTCTTCAGGACGGACCGTGTAAAAGTCTTAATAGTGGTTAAGGTCTACCCCAGTACACATCCACTTTCGTAGGTTTAGGTAGGAATCCGAAGTCAGGTTACAAGAGTTTCTCGATGTAATGTGCACCATTTCACACATAAGAATACAGAAGTCGAGCTCAGTGAAATCTGAATTCGACTCTTGTGGAAATTTTCCTTGTTGCATATCGAAGCTATGGCTCAATTGTATGCGGTTATGATCTTCAGATGAAATCAAACCTTGAAAGTAGGATGAGGTTCATTCGCATTCTTTGATTAATTTTAAAAAACGTGATAAATATCCTCTCACAGTCATTTCTCACTGCGTCATGAAACATCGAACAGAGTCGGATTTCGACGATCCGTCAAGCCGAAGTTGATATTCAGCGCAGGCGAAGGTTTATAGCGTTGAACACAAGTTCAAGTCCAATGCCTAATCAGAAGAAAGTTCCAACCTCAGTATCGAACGTTTGATTGATCTTGAATGACCTGCACAATTGAAAACTTTCCATAAAGCGCTGAGTTTTCGTGTTTTCGTATTGAAACAAAATTCTGATTTGAAGAGCATCATGGTTTCATAATTTCAAGTTTAAGATCCCTGGAAAAATTCTAATCGCCTTTATGACATCGTCAGGATTATCGATCAGCATCCACACCCATACGTGTGCCAACCACGCAGAGTCTGATTCTTTACAGGGATGAAGCTGGATGAGCTAGTGGGCAAAAGTTCCACTGCTCCATGAGTGATTCTGGTGATTTGTATATTAGTCTTCAAAGTTCAAGGAAGGTTTCTGCTGCTGAAGAGCCCTCAATCTCAGTCCGCAAACCCACAATAAAAGTTTGATCAAAATTTTCTTGCAACCGGTTTTCATACCCGGTCCAAAGGATGACAAAATGATTTTGCACTCAGAAAGATCAAACTGGAATCTGACGTTGTATAATAATGATGGAATGGCTTCAATGAATGCAAGTTTACATATTACATAGCATAAACAAAATTCGACGAATCTCGACTAAACAAGTGTATTCAAACGTAGAGAATTCGACGAATTACAAGTGCATGTTAGTGTTAATGTTGATGACTGCAATGGTTTTTGCTGGAAATCCCCATAGGGCTTGCAGCAGGAACGTGTGAGAGAAAGAAAAACGTTCTGGAAGCACGCCTCTACATTTCAGTCTTGACTGTAGATGAAAGCTTCATTCCAACACTGAGACACGCAGTTCCCTGTTGATAGGATTAAAGGACAAGTAACAGCTTGTACGACCTGTTTAAGTCAAATTACAGTGCAACGCCCTTCACATGTTGCGTAACCTCACGTGGATGATACAAACCAACAGTCCATTGCAGTCTTTCGCGAAGAATCATCCACCAATTTAGCGTAACTGCTCACCGGAATGGATTCTGCTTCTCTGTGCTCTCATGGGAGACGCAAGATCATCTTTATTGGCTGTGAAAGGCAGGGAAGCCATGTTCTGGAGCCTCTTTCGGAGCGAGTAGAGTGGACCGTCGTGCGCTAAGGAATTTACCAACATCAGATGCCGGGTAACAAGACCAAGGCAAACTTCAGCCTGAAAATAAGGAGCGTTCAAAGTGGTCAAACAAGCTGCTTATAAAACTTTGATGCGATGGATTGGACACCATTCTTGCAGGTGTCAGCTGAGGCTAGCTTCCTGCTTTCGTTATATAAGGCATCGACCTCACATTTAGTAGACTCACGAGATAGCTTGAACATCATCTGGCCAGGACAGAGATTGTAGCACATGTTTCTCTTCCTTCGTTGGTTAGATTAGTCATCTCTTGATCATCAGGAGTTTCCAGTTCTATAGTTGATACACCTGGGATCCGTATCCAGTCGTTGACCGACGGAGGTAGAGCAGCCCGATGGCACCGTCAATGGTCTTCCTGGTGGTCTTGTTGGTGTCCGCTACCTTGATCAGTACGGCTTCGGCTGCGACTTACAAGGTTGGGGATTCAACAGGATGGGTGATCCCCGACACTGCAACGTTCTTTGATGAATGGTCTGCAAAACAGACTTTTGTTGTCGGCGACAAGCTCAGTAAGTGCATCGAAATGTCCAATGATGTTGGTCTACGTAGGATTGATATCGGAAGTTGTACAATTCTGAATTTTTTACTCAATTTTATATATGCTCATCAGTGGTTCAGTTATTTTATGCAAAAGCACTCCAATTCTAGCACTGATAGATCGCGACAACAACGAATATGCTGTTCCTCTAGACGGTCTAACTTCCAATGCCTGGAGTTTTGCTGAATGCAGTTTTCACATACTCCACGGGTCACAATGTATACGAGGTCAGCTCGACCGATGCAACCGCTTGCGATTCCAGCAACCCACTGGCGATTTACGCGAGTGCAAACCCCACTGTGACCTTGAGCACTGCTGGAACTCACTCCTTCATCTGCGAAGTCCTCGGGCACTGCGTTTTGGGCATGAAGATGTCAGTAGACGTTGGCAATCAGCCCCCACTCACTAACTCCACTGCTTCGCCCGCAAAGCCTCTGAGTCCAACAGAGTCTCCCTTTACTTCACCGCCAGCACCACCTCCACCTTCTTCTGCTTTCAGTCTCCAATCTAGCGCAGCATTCGCGTTTGCTGCAGCCTCGGCTGTTTCTGTAAACTGGATAATATATTATGTAGTGTAGAACCAGACCGTAAGTGTACACACAATCCCTCTTTCCTCTGCCTGCCAGCTCCGTGAAAATTTGTCAAATTCCGGTTCTCACGTCTTGGAGCGGCAGATTCAACAGCTAATTTTGATCCAGTGTTTGATTCTTGTGCAATAGCAAAAGACGTCGTCAACCATCAAATTGCTCTGACCTGGTTGGTTTCAATGGAATTTTTTGTGAACGCCACATCGTCATAGATCCTCACGAGTCATCCCTATCTGACTCGGTTGTCGAGAAGTTGTTAACTATGATCTCTGCAGCAGGCTTGCTTGTGAATCAGCAATTCTGAAGTCAACTAGCAGAGGCAGAACAGTGTGAGCAAGGATCATTATTGCAGTCCTCAGAGTTCCAGGCGGCAGAAGGCTATAACATTCGGGCTTTCAGTCACTACAAGTCCAAGCCCGTGCCCTGCCTGGCTAGCTGTAGAGATAGTTTCAGCAAATGTAACATGATAGGTGGAAAAAATGTTATGCCCGTTTGTAACTTTTGTTATGGGCAAAATATTCTGTTAATGATACTCCACCAGCGAGTATCAGGACATATTTGAAATCAATCAGGTTTCTCAGCTTCATTTGTCACAGTCACTCGGAATCCCGTCTTTTGCATCGTCTTGTGTGCCCATTCAGCTCCAACAATCTCCATGGAACTTGTAAGTTGTCCGTTTGAGTTGCTGAGGCAAGCAAATACGAATTTTTCGGAGGCTTAAAACGTGGTTACGAGAATTCCCTCAAGGTCGGATTTCATTCATTGGGACAAAAATTGGCGATTGTAGAAAATAACCACGGTCACCGTGGGTCTCAATAAGATACTACCTCGCAGAATATGCGACCATTTCGCTGATTCATATATGATATTACCAAATTCTAATGTTGCACCATGGCGTTCAACGAAAACCGATGCTCATGCAAACACCCATTTTGGTCTTCCGATTGCACTCAGAAGTCAAGCATTCAACATTTTGCTAGACCTTACCTGCCTCACGTGGAACTGTTGTAAAAAGTAGACCTACAGACAGGGTACTGATCTCCGCAATCTGCTGTATATGATTCAGTATCCTCATTAAACAAGCATTTTCACAGGAAGATGGTACCTTGGAGCGAGCAATTAACGACTTTGAGCACGGGAAGAATCTTAGTTGGTATATGCTTGAACATGACATATGAAAATGATGGATGTATATTAGTGCGGCAATAAGTATGGTCGCACTTTTTATTCTTCTGATCATGATGCACTGGCAGTTGAATGACAGGCTTTAGTCTCAGGAAAATGACAAGGTGACAGGTACACTGAAATCCAACTTAGAAATGGTTTCCAGTTTGTCTTCTCAATTGATGTGAGAAGAGATGCCAAAAAACTCAACCGTTCGGTTTGAATGACATCTCATCTACCATATTGTCAATGAGCATTCAGTACTTGACCAATAAACTGCTTTTACACCTTTCCATGTGATGACAAGTACATGCAGTGCAACGTAGACATTTCCATCACCACGTCAACGCGAATGAGATGAATTAACTTCATGATACGATCGTCATAATTTCAGAAGATGAGTAAACTTGCATCAGTTGATAATGCAGCTCTAGACTTCCTTGACCAGGTTTTAGATGTCTATGAGGATGTCTAAATCCTCACAACTCAACCATAGCGTAGCCAAAAACTCTCGACAGTTTAAATTCTTCAGTGCTTGAACTTCACCACGATACGTCTTTTGATGTTTTGGAGCATATCTCATTTTCTTGAACTTTCGTGAACTTCAACCGGATGCGATTTCGACTTTTTAAGCATGTTTCAGCCTAAAGACATTGCCTCTTACAGACATCGCACCCCCCTGCACTTCATTCTTGAGTCACATCACACACTACCAGTGACTGCTCAGAAGTTGATAGGGTTTAGACTTCAATTAAACCATGCACACGATTACAACTACAGAGCAAATCCATTTCATTTTCAAGACTTTGCATAAGCAACAAGGAAGGGGGCATGTCAATGGTTCTTCAAATCTACTGCGTCAAGCAATCTTCAAATCGAAGGCTCTGGAATTTCATATATTGTGTAGTGGCTTTATGGTCATGTAATTTACAAGTTCGAGGTAACCAAAAGTCATCCTGGAGGATGATAGGTTAGACAGAAGTGAACGCCACAAAGCAAAGACTTAATCAGGCTCGGTATATCTGAGGATTGTTAACAGGGCTCCTCCTTCCAAGTAGTCGAAACTTTTAGAAATCTCGGACAATTGCAAAATCAAAGCGGGAGTACAAAAATAAGATTGAAATGTTAAAATTATCAGCTAGGTATCAGGCTGCCTCGAATTTGCCTTCTCTCTCCAGGCAGAGTTCGAAATCCGCCAAAGGGATTAGAGGCAATGTCAGCCAGTCAGTGTCCATGTTACTAATCAGAATCATGTCAATATCTTTTGGAAACGAAGTTCATCAAGTTTTGGTTCCATACACGGAAGCTCACTTCTAGAATAACGTCACAGGTAAGCCTCGGCAAGGTAACGTAACCCTTTAGAATTACCCGGTAAAAGTAATACGTTTGGCTATAGGGTAAGGTAAAGGTAGAGCCTCGCGGGTTACTCGGTAATTACCGGGTAACCTGCGAAAAAAAAATCGTGGACGTTTTTCTACAAAGACTAAACGCTTCATACGACAAACCTCGTACATTGAAAAGCAAAAACGTGGACGAGGCTTAGTCGAGAGTTCGAGACTCTCTCGCCCCATCTTTTTGTGTCCATCACAACAAGCTATGTGAAACTCCGTGCCAATGAGCGATACAAGAACCAATCCACAGTCGAGAGAAAGTCTTGCCAAAGTACAATAAGATTGCAGTGAAAAATTGTAATTTTTGTAATCGTAAGTACCAACTTTCAGTAATTGTTGCTACCATGTCTGCGGATCGGAGAACATTGCGAGATATTGATGTTTCTACAAAGAAACTAGATGTACAACAAAGAAACTAGAACGGGTCTAAAAGTCAGGTGCTCATGCCATGCTATCAAAAAACTGTCATTTCCTCCACACCGAAATTACCTGCTGCTGTCGCATCCCCTATTAAACTACGATTACCAAACTAGTAAAGGTAGATTTACCAAGTAACACTAATAGATTAGCGTTAAGATTAACTTTTAAATTTTTTAAATCCTTATGAGGTAACCGGGATAATTACCCTACCTCAGGGTAAAAGGTAGACCATAGCATTACGTGTAATGTAATGTAGAGGTCCATGCTTTACCCGGTTATATTTTACGTTACCTTGCCGAGGGTTAGTCACAGGCTGTCTCAAATCGAATGCTGCCCATCACTAGCATTCATTCCTATAGATCTTGGCAGTACCATCTAATTATCTCAGTACTGCAGAAGATACGTTCGGATCATCAAGACCACACCCAAAAGGTATACTATGTTATATTCATCATATTCACTTCATATATAACCATAGATTTCATGTATGAGACAAACACGAATATTCAACAATATTTCATCGCATTTGCCTGATCTTTGACAGCAGGCCTGAAACCCAATCTCCAAAAGGTGGAAATCTCAAGACTTCAATGAGATGAAAAGACTCGAGGAAACGCTGGAATGATGGCCCCCTTGCGCTCGAATCTTTTTGAGGAATTTAGAGGTCAAGGATTCAAAACTATCAAAACTCTGGTCGGCCATTAGGCATCCGTACCGCGCGTAAAGAAAATTGTCCTGCAACTACTGATCACAACAACAAAAAATACAACTGAGAAGAAAAATTCCTGTTGATGTGACAAATTCCGACCGAGCATGATGTATTGCAAAAAAACACACTTGCATTGAGTTCTACATTAAACATGTGACGAACGAGGACTGTGATAATCGTAATCGTTTTTGAGTGTGAGCTAAACGTCAGACATCAACTACACTGCGCAATTTAGACAATTTTGAAACATACGGCAGTTCACATGACAATGAAACTGCTGCATCATATTTACGGTATACATGCAGGCGATAGAGGTCGCCTTTAGCTGCACATAAGCGCATGTACGGCCAACACTCATGGCTCAATCCTGTTTCATGATCACGATGTAGCTTCGCGATTTCGTGGAAGCAGATTTCACGTGTCATCGTCTTCAAAGGGCATCAATTCACTTGGTCACAGGAAGTATTGCGTACTTCACCGTTAGTGGCTGTAAAAGCCGCTGTAAATTGAATAAAACTGCAACGTCAACGTTTCTATCATGAAGCTTGTACTAAATTTCAATAAATCGATTCAAAAGTTTTTAAAAAAAAAATTGGTTAAAAAAATTTCAAAAAAAACAACATATTTGAATCCTTCATGTCTTCCGGATATGAAACCAACTCATTAATATCTATATGTTTTATTCCATGTGCAGATCATCTTCATTTTACATAATGATTGGATCATTGAAAACATTACCATATTACTTTGTTATAAATTATTAGGTTACAAGAATTCGTATTGAAACATGAATGGAAGTGTTATGAAATGCCACCACAAATATTGTTGATAGAATAAATCGTGTTAAATCCGAGCACATGTTTTACCTTTTGCAAGGTTCTATGAGATAATTTTCTTGATGTTAGAAGATATTCCATGGATCTCCTTATGCAATTGATTAATTAATTAGGTGGAGACAATTGGTCAATTTCACCTTTAGTTTAATTCAATTGATAAGAAAGATGGAATAAACAATAAAATGGGACTTGCCTTCAACAAAGTCTTTGTTGATTATGACGCCCTTATGAATAAAATAATAAATCGAAAGATAATCTCTTTGACTCGTCCATGTTATCACTTACTTAAAACTTAACCTTGGATCCAGAATTGCATTGATTTCTCCACAATCTCAAAAATGTCTCTACATAACCTACTCCATCCATGAATATTTACCAACACATATACCCGAATTTGATACTCAGCTGTTTACAAAACTTTCAGTACTCGCAAGTATTCGACTATGTTTATAACTGCGCTGCCAACGTTACTATGGTCAATAGACTGTTGTAGTTTTTTACACAGTTCTTTTCTGTCACTGCAGTCAGTTTCGCTTGCATGGGCTCAACATTATGAACCTTCATAACTATGTCTAACACGATTCCATTTCCACGTCCTCTTACCCCTCGCGCAGAAATGCGTGGGTGCAAGAATCCTCGAGCCTTGGCTTGGAAAGTGTAACATTTCACGTAGAGGGTCTACTGCAAAAACCAGAAAGCTGATCTATATTTTTCCAAATCTAGTAGCAGTTATATAGCCCAAAAAAATGGAAAACATACAGAACAAGGGTGACAAGTCTACAATAACTTCAAACTGAAAACATGACAATCGACAATAAGATGTACTCGCTTTCTACTTATATAAGTACACAAATATGGGAACGATGTGTGATAGGAGCCTAATGAAGCAAAGCACACATGTCCTATTCACTAAAACCTTCTTAAACTCAATGCCAGCCCCTCCCCTTCCAACACCTATCCGATTTACTTGCTCTCTTCTCTCAATAATGCCGTCTCAAAGAAGTAGACGCTACTTCTTTCTTTCTCCCCTATTAAGGCAATTCCTACGGGACCTCATCCACCGGCGGTGGAGGCAACCGGCTGCCGAGATCAACTACGAGTGTCCTCCCCTACAATTTGCCCAGCCTGGACTCGATATGGGCCCTTTTAGAGCATTTCAGGGAAAGATTCTTGCAGAAGAGGCGGCGCATCAATGCTCTTTCACGTGTATTAATTTTACGCTCGATCGCCAGAATCGACTTTGAAGATCGACTGCAATCATAACGTCTTGTCATGTGAAATTTCAATGTCTACTCATCTCAAGTATTCGCATTTCTCGCTTGAAATGCTGAACACGGTTGGGTTTATCTCAGTTTGAACCGCAGGGAGATACGCAGCCACAGGCGGTGATGGCGACGGGAGCGAGAAAAGAGGAGAGCCTGATTCTGGCTGCAGAGAGAAGCGCTATCTCTCCTCGACCGTATCTTAGCTTAGCACAGAGAATCCCATTTGACACCTCGAGTGGCAAAGTCCGATTCTCGAATTTCCCGGGCAGATCTCTGACAGGGCTACGACAATTTCCAGGAACCAACTTCTGTCAGTCACTGCGTACTCCTCTTCCTCTCATCCGACCAGAATTGCCGCTGCCTTCGTCGCCAGTGGTTCGGACCTACGTTTCGTAGACCTCTCTGAGTTTGCTCTGTCGCTTGCGCCTAACTGTGACATCTACGAAGGTGGAATCTACATGGAGATCCAGTCAAAGAATGCTACACTGCGACAGATGTTGTCCTACGTAACTCACGTGAACCTGTATTAAATGGGTCTGGCATTTGCACAACTACCCCAGGTGAGAGGCGGGATAGGGGCTTCGAGGTACAATACATATTTTGAATTGTACTATCTGTGACGGAGTATGTATTCATCCCGACGTGACACGATTCTCATATCAGACCTGCCTTCGATTCGACTGCGATGCATGTCCTTTATTTTCATCTCTCCTTTTGAGTTTTCGAAGTCCTACTAATTCGGTAGTTGTAAATCAACATGTAGCTCATAGTAGAGGTCGCGCATGACAGCAAACAGTTTCAATATGGCCGACAATAGGGGAATCATTGCGCAATATTGAGGAGATATCCAAAGCAGTTGAAATTGATGTCAACGATGTCCGTTGATCCTTCCAATTTCAGTATGAGAAGCGTTAGCTTCTCAATAGTGTTCAGCACATACTGGCAGGAGTGGCAACAGCTGGTTCCAAGAAGTGGATTAGGAGTAGAACTGTGATTCGAGGTCTTTCTGCCTAGAGCCTGCAGCTATGATTCTATTGGTCCCGCCACAGCCAGATTGGCTGGAGATGGAGCAGAAGACTCCACTGTCATTCCACACTTGCAAAACAGAACCTTCTGACGCAGCTCCAACCTATTTGAAGGACCTATTATTTCCATTAGATATGGACTGAAACCGAAACACCATATGCGTAGGAATCGATCACACCACACTACTACGAAATCGACCGCCAGTTAACATAACCGCACAAGTGCAGGTGAAGTTGGTCCTTCAAGTCAAGATGAGACAAAATACAAGCTCGAGTGTGCATGATGAGTCGCTTTCACAGCTCCCGGCGGGTTCGATATAATGATTCCAAACAAGTGAACTCTGGAGTTTGAGACTGTACAGTGGTCTGACTGGCTTGCAGTCTATTTTAGTCTGGCATGAAACGTGACAGGAAGGCCCTTCTCCATCAGAAGAATAATGGACAACGCGTACTGGACTTTGTGCCCAGGTGCGAGTTGAATGCTGTACTGCGAAAGCAGAGCAGCAGAGACGGACTTCATGAAGAGATATGCTAAATCTTTCCCGAAGCAGTTACGTGGACCCGAGCTGAATGCCGAGAATTTGAGAGGCGAGACAGTTTTCAGACCTCCATGCCCATCAAACCAACGCTCGGGCTTGAACTCCAAGCAGTCGTCTCCCCAAAGCTCAGGCATTCTTCCCATGGTGTACATGGACCAAATAACTCCCTGGTCCTTCTTGACTTTCACACCGTCGGGAAGCACGTCATCTTCCACTGCAAACCTGAAGTCCCACGGGAGACTCGGATACAAGCGCGCAGCCTCATTCAGCGCAGCATGGAGATATGTCATCTTCCCGAGCTCGACGAAGGAGAAGGTGGCATCTTGTTGCCTCTCGGGGCTTCTTTGAAGTTTGATTTCATTGAGCTCTTTCACGATGTTTGCCTCGACCTCCGGGTGCTGGGTGACTAGCCACAAAAACCAGTTGACCTGCATAGACACGGTATCTCGTCCTGCCAGGAGCATGTTCGTCGTAGTATCTCGCAGAAACTGGTCGTCAGGAGATTTCCCTTCTTCATCGCTTAGCTTCATGAACTTAGTCAGTAGGTCCAATCTCTCCAAGCCGATCCCCTGCTCCAGCTGCGCTCGCCGAGCTTTAATGGTCTTGGTGATCGTTTCATCCACCACTTTCAAAGCTTTCAGGAAACGTCCCTCCGACCCGACCTGCAACGCTCTTTTGATCTGCCAAATAAACTTGGGAGTGAAACATCGCTCCTGATTAGTTGAGGTCACTGTGTCCCAAGCTTCGGCGAACGGAACAGACGGGAAGCCCTTCGCCAGAGATTTCGGATCGAGCCCCAATACAGTGCCGCAGACGGAGTCAAATCCAAAGCGGAAGAGAATTTGCTGCAAGTCCATAACCATTCCCGTCTCAGCTCCCTCCTTGACAATGGGAAGAAGCTTCGTCTCCAATCCGGATCTTAGCAGAGGGAGCGTAGACTCACGTAACACCACCATCGTGAACATGGGGGCTATGATCTTTCGCTGCAAAGAACCGTAAGAGTCAATCAAGACTGTAAAAAAGGAAAATGAAAACATTCCGAACTCGAAGAAGAGAATTATTCATGCTTGCACGCCTTCGTGGACTATGACAACGTACTTGGCGAACGATGTGGCAACGAGATGAAATCTCTGCCTAACCTGCACTTATATTAGCCACAGATGGGAGTCCAGAGAGCTGCGACGAAATTTTACCTGAATCCGCCACCTCTCGCCGTTAGTGTTGAATATTCCGTGTCCCAAAAGTTCGCGGAAGAGGTCCATGTTCTGATCACTCTTGATGAAATTTTCGTGATGCGTCTGGGTGATGTACTCGACATTCTCTGGTCGGGCAGTGTTGACTTTTTGCAGATCACCGAACGGGAAGAAGAAGGTGAGGTCAACTGTCCCCCCATGCTCGAGCTGCATCTCAGCCATCCAGTCGTACAGCCGGTGGACATTTTGAATGAAGTCGGGCATATTGCCGAGAATAGGCCAAACCCAGGGTCCTTTGGGGTTGCGAAATTTGTACTGGTGGAAGACAATATACACAGTGACGACCAAAAGTAGTCCCAAGGAGGTACTTCCGGACGATCTCCAGTCCCTGCCGAAAGAAACATCTTCGGGGCACACGTTGGCGAAACGTGTGCCGTTGCTAATACTGGTCAGGCACGACATTGCCTCGGCACTCATACTCGATCGATTGCTAGTTCAGATCAGCTCACCTGGACAAAATAACCAGTCTAAATAAAATCCACTCAGATTCTGCTACGGAGTATCAGAGACCGACAGACGTTAGTAGTTTACACGTGGAGTATAGTTAGCTCTATCATCTGCCTGGAATGTCACATTGTAGAGCTTCAATCTTCGAGCTGCTATGTTTTATCAGACTACCAGTGTCAAAAGATAAAACGTGTCGATCCGCATATACTTCTCCGGATCAGAGTGTGAAGTCCAATGCTGAGTGAGAGCTCTCGGTGTACAGAAATGGTTTTCTCGAGCAAACGCAACTTCAGTTTCCAGGAGTAAGGTGTATGGACTGTGAGCTCAATATTAGAACTCTGAGAACCTACAAACTCTGGGGACAGGCAGAGAGCTGAGACAAGACGGTCTACACTCGCAGTTTGAAAGTGTTACCTCCGGAGTTCAATGATCAGAAACTCTCTATAACTCTGGTCTCATGTACTGCTGCAAGAAGAAGATTGGAATGTGCGGCAGTTGCTTCGCCATAATCAGCAGGGGTGGTTGTACCCCGCATACAATGTTGTCCAGCCTATAACTGGGAACGACATGTCCTTCTTTGGAGATTTTACCGCTACTCACATGTCACTGCTGTCTCCCAACCCTCTTTTATAACTGGAAGCGTGAAATAAAAGAAATTTGAAAATCAACACTGCCTCTGTCATAACTTGCATATGTCACAGGCCTGGACTCAGATAATGAGACGAATCACGAGCCTTTAGCCGCAATATCTCTCTCTTGCTCTGCGTCTCTGTTTGCCTACCGACTCTTCCAGCAGAAGTTCACTTTCTCCAAACTGACGAAGAGCTCTGATTCCATCCCGCTCACCGCTCCCTCGCTGGCCCAGACCTTAAATCAAAAGTCGTGCATCTCAATGTACAGCAAATCTGCATTGATAGCGATCGTATATGCAGTAGCTAGTGCGTGTAGACAGAGAGCAGCAGGCTTTTCTTCCCAACATTCAATCCAAATCTTAAGGCTGGGGCTGAGTGTGCATGCTGAAGAGGGCGGAAATTATAATGCACGAGGAATCACTGGGGAATCAATCGCAGCTCGCAACGAAAATGCAGTGATTCTCCCATGGCCCCTGTTCCTGAATCCCCTCCGTGGCTGATGGAAATCATGATCAGACTGTTTTGAGAAAGCGTCGGAGGGGTGCTATAAATATTCACATGCTTGAGTCTGAAACCAGGATTGAGATTTCGGTACTACCCGTTCTATAAATTTCAGGTCTTACTCTACAGGGCCCGGACTCCCTATCTTACTCCCAGGGCTTTGGCAGAACTCGGCAACCGAGGCTCGGTGGCTACCACATCTCGTTTCTTCCCTTCACCCAGTACAAGTATTAAAGCTTCGCATATGCGTTCAATGCTGACATGTGTAAGTGCTGCCCAAAGGCTGTATCGCCACCAAATCCCGGATTACTAAATCCAAATATACCTATAGCTGATGGTCTGCACCTCCAGGACACAGTGACCACCGTACGTCCTCATGAGACTGGCGTACTTATCATCAAGTGATAGATCTCACCTCTAGGACATGATCGTTAATTAGTGCACCCACCTCTGTGATTCACCCCCTTCCCCTGACATGCGCATTACACATTCGTTCTCCATCAAGTCACATGAGCCCGACCGAGTCGATCTTCCATAAAAGTTTGAAAAGACATCAACTTTCAGGCCATCGTTCTTTACACAGAGCACTGTAGCCATACGTGCAGCCGTGCTGCCTTCCATTGGCTACCGAGGGGCTGCAGATTTACACCTCGCCTTCAGAGCTGTCAATAGTAGGATACCTTCCCTCGTACGGTTTCAGGTAAAGGCCTACCCTGTAGTCTGTACATTCCGGTTCCATAGCATCATTGTTTACTCGTCGTTGGAAACCTTGTAGTGAAGAAGCCTCTTGTCGCGTAGGCATGTACAGAGTTCAGATGGGAGAAAAGAGTTTACTAGTCGACGCTTGTCATGATTGGAACAATGTCTAAGCCCTTTGCGAGGCTTAGGTGGACGACACGAATGATCTGAAATCAACACAACGAGGTGTGTCTCCTTGTACTCCAGCTAGCTTTCGTTCCTCCCAGGCTTCCGATTTTCTCTATCATGTCTTTCGGACAGTGAGCTTCTCATTGGGAGTGGAGCTCATATCAGGCCTATTTAGACTAGGCCACCACATCAACAACGATGTACTTGCCTATAATTTCGAGTTCGATACTGCACAATCGAAGTCCTGCATTGCGCGGAGTGATCGAGAAGTAAGAGCAAATTGCAGATGTCAGTTCCTTCTCCTGAAGTGTTCAGGAAGAGGACATATAATGACCTTATCTGCAGAAAACGCTGGTATGCCTCAAGTGTATACGACTGTAGGTTTCATCTTGCTACATCGCACTTGTTGTATGCACTCGCACGAGGGAGGCATATTCATAAAGTCCCTTCATGCAAACCTGTTCATCGTATTATAAAATAAACTAAGCAAAGCCTACGAGAATGCGACATAGTTGCTCCCCAACCTTTGATTTATAAACTCCCCATAAAGTAAATGATCAATAATCACAAAAAAAAAAAAAATTTATGCTTGAATGCATAGGAAAAAAATTAGTATACTGCATTACAGTGTGATCTGCTCCTTCTATTGTGTTCGTTGAGCCGAGAGAAGGTTAGCAACCCCTTGACAAGGACGGGAATTGGCTTCGGCCGTTCACAGACTATGAGGTTAAGACTTCCTGCCCTCCGGGGCGGATCTAAACCAAATTTGTTTATTTTTTCATTGAATCATAAATCAATATTAAGCTTCGAGTTCGAAACTAAAGAATGAACAAATCATACCCCTCAATGCTATACAGTCGACCTTCTATATCATTTCTAGCCGATTATATGTAATTTTTTAGACCAAGAGCGTTACGAGAGAAAATGGTGGAAGAAGTTATAAATACCTGCTCAAAAATTGATTGCAATCCCATGTCTGAAGTCCGGAGCTTTGTCTATTGGTTTTCTCAAATTATGTTGTAACAGTATATCAGATCTGAGCCCTTGATATGGTGTTAAATATGCATGCAGTTTCGGTCTTCCTTGACGTGATATCACTGTGAGAAAATAATTGCAGGCTGAGCTAACAAGGCTCAAGATTCCCTGCATCAAAAACGTTGGAACTCTTTGAACACTTCCCTTGAATTTCACGCGAAATGTGGCAATCATGTCAGGTCATGTATCTTAAGCAATTGATGCACGGCGCAGTGTGAGATATTGTTCGGCAGGGGGCGGGGGCGAGTGTGCGAAGTTAAAAGGCCAGTACGGGGGTTCGACCATAGCGAGTCCGTCATGCCTTTCCCAGCAATGAAACTCCATGTACAGGCCGCCATGTGTAGATCTGCCCCGTCGCCATGATTCCTCCCTCCGTAGAACGCATAGCATCCCTACACGAGCCTACTTTACACGCGGAACTGTAGCGTCTACCTGCTCATCATAAACACGTCGGTCAATATCCGCGTGTCTGAGATCTGGGAGTACAGAGGATTGATGGAAAAAGCCACTTGCTCGGGCCAAACTAGGCGGAGCTATTCGTTAGGCTGCCGAGCGGCTGAACGAGCTGTGACTGATGTCTAAGGAGGAGGGTGTCTTGCCAAAATAGGGTATATAGGTCAACTACTCGAATCTACTTCACAGCAGGACACACCTCTACTTTATATTTGACAAATTTTATCCGTCTACTCGCGAGCTCAGTTAATATTTTCTTGTCCACCGGCATGTGTTACGAATTTGACTCATTCCAGTAGTTGAATCTCTTTTATATTCGATGGAATGAGTTTTCTTACTAAAGTGCAATGGAGATCAGACATTACCATTTCCCTTGCACCTAAGGAGCATATTCTTCAAGTCTTTATGTCGTACTCAGCTTCTACAATTTACTATAAGGTTTTTGAAATAAGAGTTTACTCTTTAAAACTCTAATCTCCTCCTATGTTGAAGTTAAGTGCTCTAAGGAAGAACTAAACTATTTCTCCATGTTATCACATCTCTTACACGTGTATAAGATAAAGTCAAAATCTATCCTCATAAAAGGAAAAACCGAGCACATCAGTCAATATGAAGAGTACGTAATTGAATTGAAGCACGGGTATTTAGGTGGATAATTTTCAAGTTTGTTAGTGAACAGCTAGAACGTATAAGATAATAAACATGATACATGTTGATAAATCCGAATGTTGTTGTTTTGATGTAATAATATACATGTTGAGTCTAGTACTAGTATCTTCTAATTATCAATAATAGCTGGGAATATCCTATCAAGTAATAAAGTAATTACCACAAAGAATGGAAGAATATCATATCCCAATATCATCTTCATGGTAAAAAAATTCGTATATGCTGGAGTTAGCTCATGTAAGCTTAACTTTAATTAATTAAATTAGTTAATCCTTCAATAAACAAGATTATTTAACAATAATTTTAGTGATAAATTGTTGGAGGTTTTGGGTAAACAACTTGTTATGTCTCATATATAGACGCTAAGCTGAACCAAATTATTTTTTATTTCAACCGTAGTGGTTTGTGAACATGATTTGGTGTGCTTTCAGATTTTTTCGTTAAAATTGATATCATAGAGATTGGAGGCCAAGGAGAGCTAGAGATTAGAGTTATTGTTCAATCATAAATTGAATGTAGCAATCAATTTTACCTTGAGGAGAGTGCTATATTTGCAGTGGGAAAGACCGTTGTAGCGCTTACTTTGTTATTAATTTTCATCACAAGGTGATCTTCTTCTTGATCATAATTAGGATTGGGCTTACTCTGAAGTCACTCCTTGTAGAGTTTAAATTGATTCCAATTTGATTTGGAACTTTTTTGCAACATAGGCTAGAGAAAGTCGCGTCAAACTCTAGTGAATGAACATGAAAGAAAAGAGAAAATTACTTGATGATATCCCTTATTTGTAATAGTTTATTGGGATCCAACACATATTGTTTTAACCAATGGGAGTCCAACAACGGAATACGTTGAACTTGTTCTAATATAGACCTATGGTGTATGTAAGAATCATCGAGTAGAGAGACCAGTATTTAAAGCGCGGTCAACGAGACATGAAGAGAAATGATCAAGAGTTTAGAAAGAGCATAGCGAGGCTAAGAGAATATTTTGCCTAAGATGTTTGGCCTTTTTTGCGTTAGTGTTTGTTAGATCAAATTATACTAGACAGTTTTCTGCAAGACATTTGGTCATCAAGTTGCATGATTAATGATTTTTGGTTGGACGAATAACTTTTTAAATAGATCAGATTTCAATCACCACAAAATATTTTTTTGTTGTGATAGTGAGAAGATCAATTTGCAATTTCAGCAATTGAAATATTTTGTTCATCAACAAAAGTTATATTCTTGAAACACAAGCTATGGAGCTTTTAGAATGATGAACCTTGCAAGAGCATTGAAGAATGCTTTAAGATTGCATTGATTAAATTGCTCAAAATGTCTTGCGCTCAAGCAGACTTATGATGCTCCACTTGAAAAGATACACAAATGCAACAAGAAGTACATAAAATTGGTGAAATTTCTTTCCTGAGTAAAAGAAGGATTTGTTTGCACAAAAAACACAAGAATCAACCTCCAAAGTTTGACATAACTAGATGTATGTTATAAATACTAATGAAGTTTGATATAACTTGATAATTTACCATGTATGTGATGACTATTTGCTATAAGAGATACAAATCAAACACTAGCTTAAGGTTAGAAATTTGTACAAGATTTTGAGATGTAAATCCTACATCTTAAACAATAACTACAAAGATTCTTGAAAACCAAGCTGTAAATATTTTTATAATAATACATTTACAATCTTTGATTTGAAGTTAGTATATGAGTATGACAAATGTAATGATGTTGTTTGAAACTCTTCAATAACAATTTTATTGCAAAAAATTGTCATGTAGGTTGTATGTTTTTATAAAGTTGATGAATTTCAAGACAAAGATAAAAAAAAATTTAATGTTTTTAATGGTATTCTATCATACTTTTAGAATTTAAAAGAGTGAATAAGTGATAAAAGCAAGTTTCTTCATTTCTTATCTTCATTACTTGCTCTTTATTAGACGTTATTGTGTGTGTTGCTTCATTGTTATAAGAATATAATCATTTATAATGAAATTGTAAATGTTTTGTTCACTAATAAGTTAAAAAAATATATAAGGATTCATTATATTACATTTCAAACGTTAG